AGGTTTGACTGTATCAATATATTAATCAGTGTGTAAAACACGATGAAAATAAGAAGCAAGATATATAGAACAAACATTATGTGCAACGTTAAAAGAAAAGATCTATTAAAAAGATTTTACGCGAGGGAGTAACCACTCTTGAATTCCGGTATACAACCTGTCAGAATTCTGTTGAATTCTGTTGAATTCCCTGAAGTCCGTTAAAGTTCGTTGAAGTCCGACGTAGTCCGATAAAAATATAGTTCAATTTCTAAAAAAAGATCATCAATTTTGATTAAGTGATCGAGTTTTTTAAAAGTTTTTGCCCTTGTCCGGATATTAACATTCGTCTTAAAGTATGTTGGAAAATTTCGCTGGTGTTTCCAGACAGAGACCGAAAAGTGGCAACCATAAAAGTCTAATGAAGTCCGATAAATTTCGATATAGTCCGATGAAGTCCGTGAAGTCCAGTGAAGTCTTGAAGTCAGAAGTCCAGATGTACATATATTTTCTGAGTGGTTACCCCCTCGATTTTACGCTTATTTTCTTCTTTATATTCTAAATGTACAGAGTAGGACTCAAACAGACATTAAAACCCAGCAAACACTAATTAAAACTGCAATATTACAGCAACATTATAACGTTTCTGCAATACAGCTAGAATATTACAATGTTATAATTAAAATGTGTGTTTGCTGGAAACATTTGAGGTACCTATATAATATTCTGCTAATAAATATTTAAACATTACACACCATTTTTGTTATTTTGTTTGATTATTTATAAATAAACATATATTTAAAAATAAAAGAATGATCATAATTACAATAATTATCTTATTATCTAATATGTATGTCAATATAAAGAAAATAAAATTTCGTTTATATTACATTACCTCTAGATCATTTGGATGACGCATGATTATAACAGGCAGAAAAAATGTCCAAACTTTAAAAATTGGGTAGTACTGTTTATTAAGAGTAGTCAGAATTTTCCATTTTTCCTCTAAAGAATGCATGTATATGTATATTATATAAACTTATAAAAATATTATAAATACTGATTAAAAAGTCTGATTGTTATTACATTTATCATTATGTATAATATATTTTATCATTTTTCAAATAACTCAGTAATTCGAAACAATAAATAATATTATTACGTAAAGATAACTCATTTTATAAGCTTAAATAATTTTTATATGTAATCATATTGTTATAATTGTGTTAATAATTATGTCTAAAAAAATTTGTACATATATATGTGCAAAAAATAATTTATGTTAATATACAAAAAATTTTAACTTGCCTTGTGAACCAAGAAATTGCAATGCATTTCCAAAAATTGGAAAACCTGATGGTCCTGGTATAAGATTGATAAGTCGCCCGTTTCTTCCATAATGTGCATAATAATTCCACACCAATATAATGAAGATGAATAATAGCAATATAATAACTAACATTGTTTGTTACTCAAATGATTAACCAATTTAACTTTGTTTCCTTTGGTCTGCTTTAGTTTTTAAATCACACAAAACACTAAATATATCTTATATTACTTGCCTCAAAACAAAATTCCTGATATTCCAATTGTGTTTAATAAATAAAAGAAACATTAGAATACTATCTTAATACTATTTTAATTATATTATTACAAATGATTTTGTTACTAATAGATCATTACTAAAAAGACACAATGTA